AATTTCACTTCCTCTGAAAAAAAAATAAAAAATAAAAAATAAATAAATAAATAAATATATATATATATATGAATGTTTAGCATTCTGCCCAGGCAAATATGAAAGATAATTTAAAAATAATCATGAATAACAATAATAGCTAATATCTGGTGCTTAAAAAACCATTCTAACAACTTTATTTATTTATTAAATATATTTTTATTGATTTCAGTGAGGAAGGGAGAGGGAGAGAAACATCAGTGATGACAGAGAATCATTTATCAGCTGCTTCCTGCATGCCCCCTACTGGGGACTGAGCCTGCAACCTGGGCATGTACCCTGACCAAGAACAGAACTGAACTGTGACCTCCTGGTTCATGGGTTGATGCTTAACGACTGAGCAACACTGGCTGGGCTAAAAACTTTATGTTTATTACCTCATTTAATCTGCACAATAACCTTATGAGATAGAAACTACTATGATCCCCATTTTCCAGAAGAAGGGGGTAACCTGCTCAGTTATCATTCCAACCATGGTTGAAAAAAAACAAAACTGTCCCAAGTTAAGAATAATTACTAAAATTGTTGCTTTTTCAAAAAAATTGTAAGCTGCATAGATATTAAATTTTCTATGTTACTATTTATATATTCCAAATGATATAAGGGAATAAAAGCACTTTGAAAGTATGCTTAAATAAAAATGGATCATGAAATCCATAGAATAAGTAAAGATTTTAGTGAACTACACAGGTTACATCACCTTTATTTCAAACAGTAAGACTAACTCAAATCCATGCACAAATGTTCTCTATTTTATTGTGTGTGTTTTAAATTCGTCAGTGGCAACATCTATGTCAATTTGAGGAATACCGTACTACCAGGAAATTGCAAAATGTTGGCCTGGATCACTGTGATTCCTCCCTTTCAAACATTTGAAGACCACAATAAGATAGTCCTCACCAGCCTGTGATGGAGACTCTACCTATCCATCCATTCGATAGCACTGAAAATTACTGCCTGTGTGAAAGTGGAAAGATAGAACCAGCTGATAGTAAGGAATATCAGTGAATACAGATATCTGAGAATAATTAAAAAGAGCCGAGATTTATGAAAAATGAATTCTAGATGGAAACAAGTCCTTCTATTTTTCAGGTTAGTTTATTCCATGATTTGATGAGAGTTATTATAAATATCAGCCTTGCTTGCTTTTCTCCCTCATATACTACAAAAGGAATAAGTATGAAGTAAATTGTAGGAAGATTCAAAAGTCTATAATGTATTCAGGCAATATAGCCAGAGGGATAGGCTTAACAGGATCTCAGACTATATCCCTTGCCTAATATGGGAAAATATACTTGTGTTCCAATATTTAAAAAATTTTACAATTTCCTTTGAGTACCATTAGTGATACTTTTCAGGTAATCCAATTACAGTCACAAAGCAAGGTAATTATCCAATTACTATAAATTTCTTTCTGCCTATAAACGAAAATTCCAGAAAATCTGCAGTAACATAAATTCATTTTCAGTGTACAGAAAATACAAAACAGTTAGATTTTCTTATCTTTTGAAGTATTGTTTTGAATCTACAAAGGCAATAATATTAAACTGTCTTAAATATTTATATAATTTTACTGACTAAATGTTTTTTATTTTTAAGAAGAGAGAAAAATTGGAACAAAACTGATTTTCCCTTTTCTAAACTTTCCAGAGATTCACTTCTGTAGTAAGAGAATAAAAGCTGGAGAGAGCAGAAGGGTTAGAAATGTGGCATGTTGAAGAAAAGAGAGGGCAAGTGTTACTGCAGGAGCAAAGTCAGTGCCCCATTACAATTCACTTCAGGTTCTTCTTACCTGAAATGATTATGAGGACCAAGAGATAATCAAGAGAACAGAATACCTACAATGAAGCCTGAACCAACATTCGTATTACCTGGGTCAGAGGTCAATAAACTTTCTATAAAGGACAATATGGGTTTTGCAACTACTCATCTTTGCTGCAGTAACACAATAGTAGCTATAGGTAATATTTGAACAAATGAATGTGGCTGTATTGCAGAGAACTGTATTAAAGAACAATGAAATTTATATTTCACATAACATGAAATATTATTCTTCTTCTGATTTTTTTCAACCATTTTAAAAAAACGCCCACACACAGAATGTATCTTTTTTAGGCTCTAGCCAAGGGTCCTCAAATTACGGCCCGCAGGCCATATGCAAATACAAATATTGTATTTGTTCCTGTTTTGTTTTTTTAACTTCAAAATAAGATATGTGCAGTGTGCATAGGAATTTGTTCATAGTTTTTTTTTAAAACTATAGTCCAGCCCTCCAACGGTCTGAGGGACAGTGAACTGGCGCCCTGTTTAAAAAGTTTGAGGACCTCTGCTAGACAACTGGGCAACAGATCATACTAATGTTTTAGTAAAATATCTAGGATTCACAGTCACTTTGATATTGTGAAGAGGAGCATACATAAGATTTACTTTAACTTAAAAGAAGTAGTGACATAGTGAATAAGAATTTGAATGCTTAAGCTCAATAATTTTTTAATCCATCTCTACTAAGAATTAGTGAGGCTCAATTTAAGTACCGTATGGGAAAGAACACTTTTAAAAGACTTATTCAGTTTAGATCACAAGCAATTATGAGGAATGCCAGATACGATTTAGAATGCTTTGTGATTTAGGAAAGGTATAATTTAAATCTTTTGATAGAACTTTGATTTATTCCAATTTTTAAGATAGAAACAGCTTCACATATGAATCTGAATGATCATATGAAACACATCTGTACAAACCAATAAAAATTAAGAAGTTACGATGTGTTTTTCATTTGAGTGGTTCCTTATCAGTTGTTTTAATTGTTCCTCTTTTAAAAAAACCCACTTATTTATTATGTTTTACTGTAATTAATTACATAAATTAGTTTAATACCATCTGTAGTGAAAAAAACAACTTTCCCATTACTAACAAACTAACAGAAAATCCCCCCAATTGAGATATTTCCTTACCTAACAAAGGATGGTCAGAAGTCAGATCTTCCCCTCTCCCCACGGTTATAGCTGCTGGAGACAACGTGGGTGGTGGTGGGGTTCTGTCCATGCGAACACATTCATCTGACTCTTCTGGCATTTCCTCTTCACACATATCTTCCACTTGATAAACCTGCAACAACAAACCACACTGCCTTAAAAGGTTGCTAAAAATACTTTTAATAAGGTGTTCCTAATTTAATATTAACAAAATAAATTCCAAGTATTTTGAATTTTAAAACAAGTAAAATAACTATTAGCTTGAAAAGAAAACTTTAAAAATAAAGTTTTGGAAATGCTTGGCTAAATATTTTATAAATATATCACTAAAAGCAAGTTGTGAATCAGTATCTATGTTACAAATGAATAAGGTTTCCAAAAAGGTAACAGGCAAGTCAGGACATATTTTTAATTTTGAGAATTAAAAGAAATGTTTTGATTTTCTATAGTCTACTTTGGTAATTACTATTGTTTCTGTTAACTTCTAATTGTGATAAATCAAAATAAATACTATTTTTCACAAGCACACTAAGTAAGTCTCCAAATGACACAAAATATAACAGGAAGTGTATTGCCAAAGGACTACATCTCAGGCTCTTTACTATATTTATGTCAAAGATTAAATTATGAAAATATCTGAGAACCCACAAAAAGGTATGCATGCAATTACATCTGTCTTTAATCTTCTGATCTACTCAAGATTCTAATCATTTTTTTATAAACAAACTAGAGGCCCGGTGCACAAATTCGTGCACCATTGGGGGGGTCCCTTGGCTTGGCCTGCAGGATCAGGTCAAAACCGGCTCCCGACATCCCCTCAGGGGTCCCAGATTGCAAGAGGGCGCAGGCCAGGCCAAGGGACGCCACTGGTGCACGATGGGGGCAGGGGAGGGATGCGGGAGATTGGCCAGCTGTGGGGGAACCCCTCATCTCAGTCACAATCGGCTGGACCCCAGCAGCAAGCTCACCTACCAGTTGGAGCTTCTGCCCCCTGGTGGTCATAGCATGTCACAGCGACTGGTCAACCAGTCGACTGCCCCCTGGTCATCAGTGCATGTCACAGTGAGCAACTGAGTGGCCTTAGAATATCATTAGCATATTGCGCTTTGATTGGTTGAATGGCTGACTGGACACTTAGCATATAAGGCTTTTATTATATAGGATATCAGGTAAACAGAAAAATATCTGTCCTGAAATAACATACACACATATACCATACTAACCCATTTGGGACATTAATTTTGGTTATTTAGTATTATTCTATAATTACAGAGGAAAGTTATTTTTTTATATTTATTTTTTATTGATTTCAGAGAGGAAGGGAGAGGGAGAGATAGAAACATCAATGATGAGAGAGAATCAATGATCGGCTGCTTCCTGCACACCCCCTGGTGGGGATCAGGTCCGCAACCCAGGCATGTGCCCTTGACTGGAATCGAACCTGTGACCCTTCAGTCCGCAGGCTGATGCTCTATCCACTAAGCCAAACCAGCTAGAGGCAGAGGAAAGTTTTTAGGTTGTTAACTTCCTTGTTATTCAATGATAAAGATTATACTTAAACACAGATTCAAAAGCACTCAGAGAAGGAACCATATAACAAAATATATCTTATTCATTTCAATAACTTTAATACTGAATTTTCACTTCTAGAGATTGACACAGATGCTTTAATTTGTCAGCATTATTTATTTAACCATTGTAAAAGACTGTAGGTTTTTTTTTTAAAAAAAAGCCACAAAGCAGTTCATCTCCCTTTTTTATGTATAAAGCTTACTACTTACCTTTACAAAGGTTGTGAGTTTTTAAGATTATTTACCCAAACTGATTAAAATTTGTAATAAATGTTAAAACAAAACCTTTCAAAATTAACAAAAAAATTTAAGTGATATCTAATATTGTACTATTTTTAATCAAACTATCGATAAAGTTTGATTTTAAGTACATAAAATTAAATGTAAAAGTGATCAAAATGTCTGAAACCAGAATAAGCCAGATATCATAAAAAGGACTATAAAGTTTCATCCACAAAGGCATATTTAACAACAGATATAGTTTTCTGTGTTTCTTTTAAACTAACTTTCCAAGACTCTACTAAGAAATATTTTGCCTTAAATTTTTAAAAGTCCTATTGTTACTAATAAATTTATATCAAATATTATATTCAGGACTGTGATCTGAATCAGCTCAAGTAGGCAACATTTTTCAAGTATTTGCTCACAACTCTGCAAACAGAAACCTGTTTCACCAACAGATACCTTGCCTCATGTCTGGATCCTCAGAAGTGAAAGAAGTTGTTCAGTACAATACAGTGTGCAATAATGATAGTTGCTAATATCTGTACATGATACATTTTTTTAATGATAGTAATATCCAATACAGGGGAAGTCATAAAAAAAAAAAAAGTTCTGGGCTGAAAGGGAAGAAAACAACAAAACCATCTAGTGAGGGGTATCTGTTGCAGTAGTGATTACCTTAATTTGGTGGAGTGGGGATGTTGATTAAGAAGTAATTAGACAAGTATCAGTTTATCTACCAGTTCAATTTTATCTGTGTAGCATTCCTTTCTTAGGTATTACTTTTCCTCCAAAGGTCATTATCTTTTTTTAAAATGCTAAACTCTCTTTAATATTAATGCTATCACAAGTTTTTCAAACACCTACTACAATACCTTTTAAGGAATCAACGTTTGATCATGCATAGAACTCTGATTTTTAAAAAGTGAGAGTTGTAAATGATAAAAAGAGGCATACCACAAATAGCATTTTCTGAAATAATCCATCAAAGAATACTATAAAATACTTTTTCATTCCTTATAGGTCAGCCTAAATATGTATTCTTCCAAATTGCCCATGTAAAGGCAAAAATAAGTTAATGAATAAGAGAAGTAGATAAAAACACATCTGTCAGAAATCTGGCACCATCAGCATAAAAAAATACATAAAGGCAACAACTAAAATATTGAATAAAGCAAAGAAGTAGAGAGGTTTTGCTGATAAGATCATTAGGAAACTGCACATCATAATTTCTGTTTAGCTCATAACTATTCTAAAACTAGCAATGCCTGCCAAACTTACCTCAATAAAGTGCATTAGTGCCATCTGTCTCCCTTTCCTAACGAAACTATGGACTATTGATTAGCTCTAAATTGTCTATTCTCACCACATGAAAAAACTTTACAAATATATCTCTTTTAAAAAAATACTGACTTGACTGGCCAGCGTAGCTCAGTGGTTGAGCGTCAACCTATGAACCAGGAGGTCAGGGTTTGATTCCCGGTCAGGGCAAATGCCTGGGTTGCGGGCTCAATTCCATGTGTGGGGCATGCAGGAGGCAGCCAGCCCGTCAATAATTCTCTCTCATCACTGATGTTTCTATCTCTCCCTCTCCCTTCCTCTCTGAAATCAATAAAAAAATATTTTTAAAAAATTACTGACTTTACTTTGATAATTCACCCTTTCAAATTTGAAATATTTTAAGAAGTAAATATATCTCTGTACCTGTAAGTATTTGAAACAATCAGGAAATTACGAAAACAGGTGTAATTCATGAAGAAATATTTGAGGAAAAAAATATTTGACCAAAGATAATAAAAGAAACATACAGCAATTTAATAAATAGGCTATGGTACTCACAGAAAAGTACATGAAAGATAATATGGAAATATCGATAGTATGAGCATACCAGAGACAGCAGAGAAAGTCATCATTTTCACACACACACAAACACACACACACCCCCTTCCAAAAATGAGATAACATAAATTTAAAACAAAGTTTTTAAAAAGAAATCAGGAAATAACAAATTAAGAACGTAAGTATTTTTAGCTTTAAGTGTTATGTTTTCATATTTCTATCCCAAATATATTCCTCCAAAGTTTACCCTAACAAAAACAATTAGAAAAGTGTAAAGCATATAAGGAAATTTTATTTTCTACTTGTTAAAAACAAATTCACTGAACTATAAAGTAAAAATATAAATTTAAATTAAATTTGATTTCTTTGAAGATACTACACACTTCAAAACCTGTGTTTTTGTTACAATATCCATTGTAAACTCTCCAAAACTCCATTAAAAGAAAATATAGACATGATAATTGAAAGGCAAACTTATTTCTAGATGCCCATTGTTGTTTTTGTCAAGTTCTATCTATATATATGAAAGCCTAAGCAACCGAACAACCAAATGACTGGTCAACCAGTTACTATGACGTGCACTAACCATGAGGGGGCAGATGCTCAAGGCAGGAGCTGCCCCCTGGTGGTCAGTGTGCTCCCACAGCAGAAGTGCCGCTCAACTGACTGACGGGTGCCAGACACTGGGCTCATGGCTGGCAAGTGCAGCTGCAGCGGCACAAGCCTCTCCCACCTCTGTGGCAGCACGCTACCAAGTGGCAGTGGTGGCAAGCGCAGCAGGGGTGGGATGAGCATGAGCGGTGCAGTGCCCAGCCCCATTACTACATCCCTTGGGGGGTGTCAGACTGCTGGTTTCGGTCCGATCCCTGCCTGCAGGGATGGGACCAAAACCAGCAGTCCAACATCCCCTGAGGGGTCCCAGATTGCAAGAGGGAGCAAGCCAGGCTGAGGGACCCCACCAGTGCACGAATTCGTGCACCAGGTCTCTAGTTTTTAATAAAAGTGAACAGGAAATGGAATTCAATCTCTTTATGCCTAGTACGTCAGTCTTAATGACAATAAAGAATCTATAAATTAGCATCCTGAGGAACAAAATGTTTCCCATTAAGGAACAGAATTTGAAACTCCCTTCTTTTCTGAGCAAATGGTTATAGGTCTTTAAGTGATAAAGTCCCTTCAATGAGGTCTTTATGTAAAGATATAAACCTCCTTTTGGGAACACTGTATTTTTCAGTTACAAATTAATTATGAATTTAACCATTCTGCCTAAAAATTTTAAGACCTTATTCAATTTCTTCTGTAAATTATTTTATAAATATAAAAAAATCCTTTAGAAAATTTTTAAAGAAAAACACTTTTCAAGACAATTTTCCTTTCTAGACAACATGTACCATTTCCAGAGGTTTAGTCTGATAAATTTCACCGAATCTCAATTACTCAAAATTTTTACTCCTCCCAATGGATTTTTTTCATTCTCAGTATTCAATTCATCCAGAGATTTTTTTAGGGTTTTAAATGAGAAATATTTTAATTATATATTTTCCCTTAGTAGAAATTTAAAAATCAGAAGTTTAATAATTCTGATAGCCTACAGTTAATTTTTTTGTAAAGTTAAATTCTTTCCTAGAATAAATGTTTTTACAATTTTAATTACAATATATAATTTTACAAAAAATTGTATCATACAAGCATACTCCACCTTGAAACAAAAGCTCCTAAAGGCCCACGACTTCAGAATGCATACAACCAAAAAGGTTAGCTAGATAAGCCATACGTTTAATCACATACAAGCCAACAGAAGGGATCTATGAAGGATAATCACCTTAAGAGAAAAAACTTTGTGCAGATGACACTGGTTCAAATGTATTCCCTTGGGGAAAAAAAATCAACTCTGTAAAGATAGCAGATGGATTTGTTTAAATAGTAATAAAATTAACAAGGGACTTTAATAACCATCACAAATTATTAAGCATGCAACCATACTTCAATAAATTGCCTTTTTTTTTGCCCATATAGCATGTTGGTCAGAAATTGACAGATGTAAATTTCAAGCTTTTAAAACTCACAGGCATGTAGCTCTAGCAATAAATATAATGTAGGAGAAAATAGTTTTTACTTTCAGTTCAGCAAGAAAGTCAAATAGCTTCCAAGGGCTTACCACTGGTGGATCAACAGATGCTGGTGGTTGTACTTGTAGGTTTACCGCAACAGTCTGTGGAGGAGGAAGAGTCTGAAATGGCAACTGGACCAAAGCTTCTGCAGCTGGAAGCTCCTCTTCTGACACCAAAGCATTCTGTACCAAAACCTGGCCCTGGGATAGAATTTCAGGCTGCACTTGTAAAGATTGCATAGACTGTAAGGGTAGTGGTGGAATCTGAGCTGGAGGAGATGCTGACATCTGCGGAGGGGTTGCAATTGGGATTGGAGAGGACTGCAGGGTTGAATATTGCTGGTGTGATGCTGGAGACACAATCTGCTGACCTGGGGACACCAAGGCGGACTGCTGAACGGGGCCAATGTGTACAACAGGGGAAGCTGAAAGTGGAAGATGGGATGGAAGATTCAGCTGTGCTGTTGGCTGCACCTGATTAGCAGTGGACTGTTGCAAGTTTGGCCCTGGCTGGAGAGCTGATGACATAAGAGGGTGTGGCTGAATAAGTGCTTGTGGATGAATAATTATGGTAGGAGACTGACTTGGTGAATGAGGTGGTGGAGGAGACACCACTACTGACTGCTGTGCTGACTGTGACTGGCTAGGAGACATTGTTAAAGGAGGGGGATGACTCTGAATTGGTGAACAATGCTGTGACTGGGCATTACTGGGAGCTGGAGGAAGGCCATGGTTTTGGAGTGGTATACAGTGCTGGGATGGTGGTGGATCTTGAGTTGGATTTTGGAGTGTAATTGGCTGCATTTGCTGCTGCTGCTGCTGTAATATCAGCTGATGATGGGAAACCTTGGGAGGTGGTGAATGAAGAGGAATCTGTTGATGCTTTATTAGAGGATGAGGCTGAATTGGAGGATATGAAGCTGTGAGAGAGAAAAAAAATGACAATTAGTATTTATTTTTAAAATATCATTGAAATTTTAAATAAATTTAAAGGAGGGAAATTTTTACATCAGAAAGTTATTAAAAGTCTTCTAGACAAGAGTGACTTCAAAATGATATGACAACTTTTCCTTGGAAAACTATAGATTTCATAAAATAAACTGCACTGTGGTAAAACTGCCTAAAACAATTAATTTATAAATTTGAATCTATACATGATTTATTCTTATTAAATTGTTATACGTCCCCAGAAAATGTGTTAACTTTAACAACATTATCCACTTAAATTCCTTCTTTGGGGAGAAGTGGAGTATCACTGAATAAGTATAATATATATATATAAAGATAACCTCAAAATCATAAAAATGAAATATTAAAATCCATAAAATACAAGCCTCTTTCTTTCTAATCAGTGTCTAAATATTCTTCCAACTAATCACCAATGTAATCACTTTTAAGCTTCCCAAATAAGTTACCAGATTGAGCCAAGATGAAAGAGTTGGTATTATTTGACCAAGGAAGAGAAAATGTTTTGCAGGAAAAGATAATTCAATTAAGCAAAACAGATGTGTAACTCCTAGAGCACAAATAATCACTGTAACAAAGAAATGAAATTCCAGGGGCCCTTCCAAATCTAGGAGAGCACTAGTTTTGCTTGTAGAGAAAATGAGGCAATAAAAAAATTCATACTGTCTAAATAAAAGATCTTGTTTTACTTCTCTGTCCCCCCCCCAAAAAAACCCCAAGCAAACAAACAAACAAAACCCTACAGTAATCTACAGTACTAGTTTTCTCCACAGAGCCACTCACAACAGCGATAATATAAAGAATTAACAAAGTTAAATATCCCCATCATTATGCCTCTTTTGCATAGTGTTTATGTTTACACAGAGAGGATGCTGGTGAAATCCTCTCTATCTAAGTAAGAATGGAAACTGGGTTCACTATCCTATATAATAAAAGAGAAAAATGGTAATTGGCGTACGATGATACCCTTTTCATTGGCTAATAAGGGCTATATGCAAATTAACTGCCAACTCAGATGGCAGTTAACTGACAACAAAATGGCAGTTAATTTGCATATGTAGGCACAATGCAGGGAGGCAGAAGGGAAAGCAGGAAGAAGGCCCCTGCCACTGACAGTGATCGGAAACCCAGGGGGGCGCTAAGAGCCCCCAGGGCAGCCTTTGCCCTGCCCCCCAGCCATGATCGGAGAATCAGGCGCCTTTGCCGCCCTGGCCAGTGATAGCAGGAAGTAGGGGTGGAGCCAGCGATAGGAGCTGGGCAGGATCAAAGCTGGCAGTCCCGGGAGCTAGGGGTCCCTTGCCTGGGCCTAAAGCGGAGCCCACGATCGCGGGGCCGCTGCCGCTGCGGGTCCCCGCTGCCTGGGCAGGACGCCTCTGCCAGAGGCGTTAGGCCTGGGCAGGGGCAGAGCGGGAGATCGTGGGGAGCTGGGGGTCCCCTGCCCAGGCCGGATGCCTTGGCCAGAGGCATTAGGCCTGGGCAGGGGCGGAGCCTGTAACCGCGGGGAGCTGGGGGTGCCCTGCCCAGGCCTTACACCTCTGCCAGAGGCCTCAGGCTTGGGCAAAGGACTGATCCGGTGATCAGCGATCGGATGGTGATGAGGGTCAACTCCTCTGGCCGAGGCATCAGGCCTGGGTCCGGGGTGGAGTCAGCAATCGGAGCGGGCTGGGGGTCCCCTACCCAGGCCTGATGCCTGGGCCAGAGGCATCAGGCCTGGGTGGGGGGCGGAGCCAGGCATTGGGGGGATATGATGGTCCCCTTGCCCAGGCCTGAAGCCTGGGTCAGAGGCGTCAGGCTTGGGCGGGGGGGTGGAGCAAGTGATCAGAGGGAGATGGGGATCCCCTGCCCAGGCATGATTCCTGGGCCAGAGGCATCAGGCCTGGGCCAGGGGCAGAGCCAGCCATTAGAGGGGTCTGGGGGTCCTCTGCCCAGGCCTGATGCCTCTGGCAGAGGCGTCAGGCCTGGGCAAGGGGCCGATCCTGCGATTGGAGATTGATGGGGGTCAATGCCTGAGGGCTCCCAGTATGTGAGAGGGGGCAGGCTGGGCTGAGGGACACTCCCCCTCAACCCCCACCCAGTGCACAAATTTTGTGCACCGGGCCCCTAGTATATAAATATATGATCATTATGTTTCACAGCTGAAACAATACTGTATGCTAACTGTAATTGAAAATAAGTGTAAAAAAAGAAACTGGGTTCACTAGAAGATAAACTGAAAAGGTGGCTTAATATTAATATCATGTAAACATTAAAACAGATCTAAAGAAAGGGCAAAATTTTTGTCTTAATTTCAAAGATAAAGATCTTGCATCTATTTTTATACTCAACCACATTTGTGACAAAGGCCTTATAAAAATTTCTAACAACTTTTCTTTTTAAACATTTCTGCATTTGGGAGGTTTTTTAAATTTTTCATGATCCTTTAAGGAAATTAACATTTGGTTAACATCTCAAAAAGGTATTTAGAAGGTTCAACAAATGTCCATGAATTTTTTAAATGGAAATTAAATTTCACCTAACAAAATAATTTTCATCTAACTAGACTGGCATTTCAAACTAAGACTGAAAATTGTCAGCACTTTATAAATGTGTTGATAAAGACTCTGAGTATTCAATAAGATTTTGGATATCTATAGAGTGCCTTTCTTCCAAGGGGCTCAAGGTACTTACACATAGCTCATTGTACTAAAAATAAGTGCCTATGAAGTAGATAGGTATTATTCCCCTTTTACAGATAATAAAATTAAGTGTTTGCAAGTATAACAGCAAAGGCCCATTTTAATTCAATTTTAAGTTATAATTAAAATTTAGCATATTCTTTAATGGTTATTATGTTCACAAGAATAAAAATTCCTTCTGTGCTATAGAAATATTTTTTTTTATATTCTAGAGTTGATAATCCAACAGATTAATAGTCTATCCTTTCACCTAGGTTAAATTTTTCTTTGATCAGAAATCAAAGTGAATCTATTATACTGTCTATAAGTGCAACTGACAAGCACATCTATTACAGAATAATTATAAGGATATCTGAAATAATACTTCTGTGCAAGAAAAGCACTAGTGCTCTGGAAAATCATATAATGCTTGTTTTTTTTTCTGGTTTTATTTATTTATTTTTTAAAATATATTTTTATTGATTTTTTACAGAGAGGAAGGGAGAGAGATACAGAGTTAGAAACATCGATGAGAGAGAAACATCGATCAGCTGCCTCCTGCACACTCCCCACTGGGGATGTGCCTGCAACCCAGGTACATGCCCTTAACCGGAATCGAACCTGGGACCCTTCAGTCCGCAGGCCGACGCTCTATCCAGTGAGCCAAACTGGTTTCGGCTTTTTTCTGGTTTTAATAAACACTTTATTGTCAGGGTGGCATTATACTTGGAGAGTTTGTGATTGGTATCATCTCTCACTTACGTAGTAGAACTCTAATTACTATAAATAATATATTACTGTAAATTACTAAATACATTATTTTATTCAATAGTTACAACCACACCGCCCTGCCCCAAATAGTTACAACCACCCCATGAGGTAGGCAGGGTACTATACTAATCCAATATATTACAGATGAAGAAACTCTGAGCATTAAGTAACTTGCCTGAAATCACCAAGAACCCATATTTCTAACTAAGTCTGGGTTCCTATTATGGACTGAACGTTTGTGTCCCACAAAATTCATGTGTTGAAGCCCTAAATCCTAACATGACAATTTGGTGATGGGGCCACTAAGGAAGCAATTAAGGTTAAATGAGGTCAGAAAAGTGGGACCCTGACCTAGGACAATTAGTGCCCTTGTAAGAAGAGACCCCAGAGGGCTCACTATCCTCTCTACTAGCGCTGAGATAAAAGGCCATGTGAGAATGCAGCTAGAAGGCAGTCATCTGCAAGCCAGGAAGAGCTCTCACCAAAAACTAAATACTGCCAGATCTTGATCTTGGGCTTTCAAGCCTCCAGAACTGTTATTTAAAACACTCAGCCTATGGTATGTTTTTTTATGGCAGCCTAAACAGACTAACACAGGCTTTTCATTACACACTGAATTAATGTCTGCAAAAAAAGGGTATATGGGGGGAGGGGGTGACAGGGGGATGGGTGGGGGTGAGGTCAATGGGGGTAAAAGGAGACATATGTAATACTATAGGTAATATCTTAAACAAATAAACAAAGGGTATATGTTTTTCCAACTAGACTAATTTCATAAAAGCTTTAAAAACTGCTATAAAAAACTTGAGCTCTAATATAGTTAAGGTTAATTTCCAGACATTTGCCTTATTTTATATAATAAAAATAGAATTATTAACTATCAAGAGGGAACTCCCCCTTCAAGTATGAAGAAAACCAAATTTTAGCACCCTAAAAATACATACAAGGAAGCAATAACCTTGTCCATTATAATAATTATTAAACTATACTACACTGGAACACAGATTCTTTTAGTATTTGAAAGTTATCTATAGGAACAAGCATTTTACTAATTGAGGAAAAGGACAAATTACCAATCCAAGAATCTCCCAAAATAAAGCTTAGGTTCAGAGACTAACTTCCCACCAGCAAGAGCAGAAAAACTAAAAGGCTGGAAAATACAGTTTTCGTCAGAAGATATAAATTGCTTTGAATAACCACAGTGTAAGGATTGAATAAATTTTAACAAATTTATAATTTGGTAGTTGCAAAAGTTTATATGAGTTAGGATGCTCCATTTGGTTTTGTTTCTAATCGACAACACCGTAGAATACTAGGTTAATACACATAGCATCTGAATTTGGAATTGCAATTCTCCCGAGACCTTGATGGTTTTAGCTTACTAGTCTCCTCCACACATACATAAAATATTGGCCATCAGAGGAAGACAACTACAGGGATATTATTGCACTACAATGAAAGGGAGAAGAATAAGTGTCAATTTAGAAATAGGTACTGGGAGTTCAGGGAGACTGAAAATTTAAAGTAGAGCTCCCTGCTGGAACTAACCCTGAAAAAGTTCCTAGCTTTCTCTGAAGGTAACAGTCTCTTTGGGAGAGAATTTACCTACCTTCCAGTATAATCTATCAAAACTATGGGAATCCCTAGAAATTGTCCCAAGCAGTCATTCCAAGTACAGTGGGTCACTACTGCTGCTCCTCACTGACTTATCAACACTGGCCAGAGAGGCTGGTTTGAGGCTGAGAATCTCTGAACAATCCTATATAATAAAAGGCTAATATGCAAATCAACTGAACGGTGGAATGACTGGTTGCTATGACACGCACTAACCACCAGGGGGCAGCTGCTTAATGCAGAAGCTGCCCCCTGGTGGTCAGTGTGCTCCCACGGGAGGAGCGCTGCTCAGACAGAAGCCGGGTTCACAGCTGGTGAGCACAACGGTGGCAGGAGCCTCTCCCGCCTCCATGACAGTGCTAAGGACCCCTCGGGAGATGTCTGCCTGCTGGCTTAGGGAGCAGGCCGGGCTGAGGGACCCCCGCCCCCAACTCAGTGCACTAATGTCATGCACCAGTCCTCTAGTACTATATAAAAATCCTGTTATCAATCCATAAAGAGAGCAGAACCTGTCGCACAGATGTTTATAAAAAAGAATTCACATCTAACTATCATCTGAGTTCTATGAATAAACTTATTAATTTATACGTTATAACAAAGCCTGTACTTATCTAAAGATTTAGATTTAAGAATTCTAAGCAGTGATACCTAACTAATACAAATGGAAAAAACTGTGCTATAACGTCCACAGTTAAAATGGGAAAAGTATCAACTATTAATCCAACAAATATTTATTGTCCACCTATTGCAGAGAAATATATATAATAGGATGAAAAGGTGAATGTGCAAAAAGGATTAAAAAAATCAATAAATGTAAAATGCCTGACACACAAGTGCTCAATATTATCCTACCCTCAAAGAGTTTACCACCTAATAGCAAAGCTAAGATCAATACTTATATAAAAAACTATAAAAGAAAAAGTGCCATTAAAAAGCATAAAAATGCTATACAAATTCAAAGTAATGAGAGATTTCTAACAAAAGAAATCAAATAATTCCAACAGTTTGAGATTAGGTGATTTAGAGAACATGGCACAGAGGAAACTTAAAAAAAGAAATAGATTTAGGAGGAGTAAATGCAGACTTCAGTAATGCAAAATAAATCTTTAGAAAGTAATGCAGTTATAAAAGGAAAGAAAGTTGCTTCCCTGATGAGGTTGGATGAAAGGAAAATTTTTAAAAAAATAAAACATGTGTGACCCATTTCATATCTCTCTCTCTCTCTCTCTCTCTCTCTCTCTCTCTCTCACACACACACACACACACACACACACACACACACTTTCAATAAACAATAATTATAATTACACGGCTATAAAAACATATGCATATATATTAAGGTTAGAGAGACCTAAGTATGCTGGAGAAGCAAAGGAAAAATATCCAGCATGAGGGAGACAAAAGATGCAATAATAACTATGACAGGAGCCAGTAAAAACGATGCAATCAATGACACAAGCAAATAGTGCTAACTTTGAAGGGAAAGCAGATAATTCCTTATCTTATCTGAAGTGAAGAAAGTTCAACATTGACAAATTCTGAGATGAATAGAAGAGATGGCAAGAAAACTCACTCGAGATAGCCCCAACATTTTCAGCCTGAGAACTGTAAAGCAAGATTATCTGTAGATAGAAGGAATGCACATGGGATTCAAAGTTTGATAAGAATGAAAATAACTTAGTTGACTCCCTGACATCTTCCTCTTAAAGATGAAATCCAAGATGGAAAAAAGCAACGTGGTAAAGAAAATAATTGTGCATAATCTTATTTTTGGAAAGTGATAAATTCCTCCCACTAATGACAATTTTAAACAAAAAAAATTTTTTAAAGGCTTTTAATTTTGTTCTACTAAAGCGTATTAAATGAACTACACACAAATCTTGTTTTTAAAGCTAAAAGGTTTTATTGCTATAGTAGGAAACTAGCACATAATGAAGATGTTAATCGAAATGTCAACTGACCCCCCAAAATCCATTTTATTATTATAATTTGTTTTAGCTATTAGGCTCTTTTGATTTCTCTTTCTTCAAGCTACAATATTGAAATGTTTTTTTTACTCATGAAATTCACATTTTAAAATGGTTTAAAATTATCATTCTTTTTCAAGTAATAGACATCTTTTGTTTTTCTCTGCCTGCTAAGAAAATGAATAATGCAACTATTTTCAACAAAGGTGTTATCCCACCTGGTGCTATTAACTGGTGAATACTTGATGTCCGGGTGACAGCTGTGCTTCGTGATTCCAGACTTGGACTTTCTCCTTTTCTAACACTTTCTGGAGAAGGATCTCGTTGGCTGATTTTAGAACTGGTCACTGTTGTTTTGTTATGACAAATTGTCAATGACTGAGTTTGACTAGTGCTTTTTGGTGGACCATTCTGTGAGCTAGATAACACACCCAACTTCTGGCTGCGTAATGTTAAATTCTGAACCTAAAGAACCACATAACAAAAAATAGGGATGAAATAGATGGTATTAATTCATGTGGTAATCATTACTGTACAATAATAACGACAATACATTTATATTATGCTTTTCATAAAGCTCCAAGCACTTGAAACAACTGATTAATCCTGTAAGAAAGGGGAGTTATTATTCTAAGTAATCAAATCTTAAGTACTAAGTGAATTTTTAAAAAAGACACTAAGGGAAAGAATCATTAAGAACTCAATAAAAATGGAAACTATACATATATATATATATGAACTTTGAACTATGAATAAATTACCCTGCAACATACTGCATTTTAAAATTATTGCCAGCTTTGAGACAGCCAAAGAGAAGGGGAAAGAGGAAGGTCATTCCAAGTAAAGGGGAATACTTGAGCAAAGATGCAGTGGTGGGGGAGCCCAAGGTGTG